CTTGGCTTATTAGGCAAATCGGGCCTTGCATAGTAGGCTGAGAAGTGCGTTCTGGCTACTAGGTACGACATATATATATATATATATATATATATATATATATATATATATATATATATATATATATATTTTTATTAAAGGGTACCACCTCTGGTGCAATATATATATATATATATATATATATATATATATATATATATATATATATATATATATATATATTGTATATATATTATATATATATATGTCGTACCTAGTAGCCAGAACGCACTTTTCAGCCTACTATGCGAGGCCCGATTTGCCTAATAAGCCAAGTTTTCCTGAATTAATATATTTTCTCTAATTTTTTTCTTATGAAATGATAAAGCTAATCATTTCATTATGTATGAGGTCAATTTTTTTTTATTGGAGGTAAAATTAACGTAGATATATGACTGAACCTAACCAACTCTACCTAACCTAACCTAACCTATCTCTATAGGTTAGGTTAGGTTAGGTAGCAGAAAAAGTTAGGTTAGGTTAGGTTAGGTAGGTTAGGTAGTCGAAAAAACATTAATTCGTGAAAACTAGGCTTATTAGGCAAATCAGGCCTTGCATAGTAGGCTCAGAAGTGAGTTCTGGCTACTAGGTACGACATATATATATATATATATATATATATATATATTGTATATATATTATATATATATATATATATATATATATATATATATATATATATATATATATATATATATATATATATATATATATATATATATATATATGTCGTACCTAGTAGCCAGAACGCACTTCTCGGCTTACTATGCAAGGCCCGACTTGCCTAATAGTCCGAGTGATTTTCTTTATTTTCCAAAAATTGTTTCTAATTGATTTAATTGGAATATTATTATTATTATTATATTATAATATAATGTGTGTTCTTGTACTAATTATCATAATAATAATTGTTGTATTTAATAATTATCACTCTTCCTTCTACTTGGTTTTGAAGGACGCCGGCCTCGGGTGAAAAGGGGCTGTGATGATCCTTGTCTGGAACGCGTAGGTGCAGGACCAGGATGTCCACCTCCCGAGGGTCGTGCAGCCCAGGCTCTGCTTCAGTTGGCTGGGGTCATTCATACCCTTGATGGGGTGGTTCTTCTCCGGTCCCGACCACGGCGGTCTCCGGGGTTGGAGGTCCCTGTGCCCTTCTTCACCACCTTCGAGGTCAACCCCAGAACTCACAGTTCCTGCGACGTCGCTGGAACCAATCGTATTGGTGTATGTCTTTCCATTGGAGACTTTCAGCGTCCTGGAGAGGGGGGACCTGCTGCCTGGGTAACAGCTTCTCCCCCCAATCGACCTACCCTGACTTTGCGCCCTGGTGAGGCCACTCCAGACCGACAACCAGAGCTCAACTCAATAGTCTCCTGAGACTGATGGATGCCTACTATATATTAGGAACATAATTTATTAACTTATTAGGTTAGGTTAGGTAGGTTCAGTCATATATCTACGTTAGTTGTAACTCAAATTTAAAAAAGTTAACACATTCATAATGAAATGGATAGCTTTATCATTTCATAAGAAAAAAAATAGTAAAATTGCGAAATTTAGGAAAACTTTGCTTATTAGGCAAATCGGGACTTGCATAGTAGGCCAAGTACTGCACTCTGGCTACTAGGTACCATATATATATATATATATATATATATGTCGTACCTAATAGCCAGAACGCACTTCTCAGCCTACTATTCAAGGCCCGATTTGCCTAATAAGCCAAGTTTTCATGAATTAATGTTTTTTCGCCTACCTAACCTACCTAACCTAACCTAACCTAGCTTTTTTTGGCTACCTAACCTAACCTTACCTATAAATATAGGTTAGGTTAGGTTAGGTAGGGTTGGTTAGGTTCGGTCATATATCTACGTTAATTTTAACTCCAATAAAAAAAAATTGACCTCATACATAGAGAAAAGGGTTGCTTTATCATTTCATAAGAAAAAAATTATAGTAAATATATTAATTCAGGAAAACTTGGCTTATTAGGCAAATCGGGCCTTGAATGTTAGGCTGAGAAGTGAGTTCTGGCTACTAGGTACGACATATATATATATATATAACTAAAAACTCACACCCCAGAAGTGACTCGAACCCATACTCCCAGGAGCAACGCAACTGGTATGTACAAGATGCCTTAATCCACTTGACCATCACGACCGGACATAATGAGGTGATAGCCGAGGCTATTTGCACCACCCCACCGCCGGCACTCGGATAGTAATCTTCGGCATAGCATTTTACCAAATCACCTCATTCTTTGGGGCACACGTGAGGAACACAAATGCGAACAAGCCTGAATGGTCCCCAGGACAATATGCAACTTAAAACTCACACCCCAGAAGTGACTCGAACCCATACTCCCAGGAGCAACGCAACTGGTATGTACAAGACGCCTTAATCCACTTGACCATCACGACCGGACATAATGAGGTGATAGCCGAGGCTATTTGAACCACCCCACCGCCGGCACTCGGATAGTAATTTTGGGCATAGCATTTTACCAAATCACCTCATTCTTTGGGGCACATGTGAGGAACACAAATGCGAACAAGCCTGAATGGTCCCCAGGACAATATGCAACTGAAAACTCACACCCCAGAAGTGACTCGAACCCATACTCCCAGGAGCAACGCAACTGGTATGTACAAGACGCCTTAATCCACTTGACCATCACGACTATGCCCAAGATTACTATCCGAGTGCCGGCAGTGGGGTGGTTCAAATAGCCTCGGCTATCACCTCATTATGTCCGGTCGTGATGGTCAAGTGGATCAAGGCGTCTTGTACATACCAGTTGCGTTGCTCCTGGGAGTATGGGTTCGAGTCACTTCTGGGGTGTGAGTTTTCAGTTGCATATTGTGCTGGGGACCATTCAGGCTTGTTCGCATATATATATATATATATATATATATATATATATATATATATATATATATATATATATATATATATATATATATATATATATGCAACAATGATCACAAAAACACTGATCCAAGTATGCAGAATAACCACATGTGAAAAAGAGAAAATGCTTAACGCGTTTTCGGCTAATTCGCCTTCATCAGAGCAAAGTAGAATGAAGATGACTACTCTTCATTCTACTTTGCTCTGATGAAGACGAATTAGCCGAAAACGCGTTAAGCATTTTCTCTTTTTCACATGTGGTTATATATATATATATATATATATATATATATATATATATATATATATGATGCACAACTTGCCTAAACATGCAAATGAAGTTATACAACTTTAGAACACTTTCCCACCAGGAGACTCGAACCCTAGCCAGCACATAAGCCTTCCAGCAACTGGCATAACAGGTACGCCTTTAACCCACTGCACCATGCTCAGACCCTTAAAAGAGATGGTAATTTCAGGGTATTTCAACACCCCAAAGATTACCACCTCCCAAGGCAACTAGAGCAAGTGATGGGTCACTTATGTTTTTCATCTCGTCCCTGTTAATATGGGAGAACTCTGTGTCTATGCTTGATGCACAACTTGCCTAAACACACAAGTGAAGTTATACAACTTTAGAACACTTTCCCACCAAGAGACTCGAACCCTAGCCAGCACAGAAACCTTCCAGCAACTGGCATAACAGGTATGCCTTTAACCCGCTGCACCACGCTCAGACCCTTAAAAGAGATGGTAATTTCGGGGTATTTAAACACTGTGAAATTCTGCTCCACGGCTGTGTATCGTGACTTTGTCGGCCGCAATGACGGGAGGACGTTGACTCTGCCTGAGGGTGGTTGTTCGGTGAAAGTGTCGGTCAGGTGCAGTGAGACTACCTATGTGGCAGTTCATGGTGCTCCCTTTGAGTTCCCAGACTCCCTTCTCCAGTGTCACTTTACCCGGGTCTTGAGTGTCCGGATGAATGCAGTTTCCTCTGGGCGGAGGAAGGGTATCCCGTATGGGACCCTCATTGTGGTGCTGCGCTTGAAGGATCCAGTCCCCTCTGTCAGAAACGCCGACACCATTTAATAATATTACATACAATAGCCAGATAATATTGCTGCTGTGTTGTATACACAAGTTACCCATAGAAAATGAACCTTGTAGTGGAATTTTTCGTCAATAGAAAACGGGATATCATTGCCACATAGTACGATAAATTCACCAGCTATTCTGTTGGGAATTATTCTTAAATGCTGTAGTCTTTGGACTTTTAATATCATAATGATCCGGTTCGAAGTACCATATAATGTGGGAACCAACTTGTGAGATTTATATTTATTTAATTTATGTGAATTTTTATAGAGTTTATATTTACGTTAATTTAAATATTTCGATAGCAATTTGTATGATGTTAAGTGGACTGTATTTCTGCAATATTTCTCACAAATCGATCCTTACACATTAGGGAGGTTTATATTAAATTTATATATATGCAGCCAATCAAACTACAGTATTAACTACAAATATTAGTAAATAAATTGGAGGTGCCTTGTCTTATTGTACAGCAAGCTTAGTCCACCAGATATAACTAGGATGTAGACACCAAATTATCCTCATGTGAGGCTAGCTTCCATCACCCATAGTAACTGATATACCAAGATTAATTCTTGCTACCTCTCCTTGTTCCTGTCAAAGCACAGTAGTTGTAAAGTCGGAATCCTAATATACGACAGCTTATCAGAGAAAACACTGTATATTATATGATAAGGACCATGGCTTAATCATGTGTGTTGAGTCGATCGTTCGTGTTCTAGCCAGAAATAATTCTTTCTAACATAACATTACTGGCCAATAATGACTTAGATAAGATTTCGGAAAGACACTCCTCTTGTGGTTGTTGACAGCGTGTTGATGATGGTAGAAGCACTAATTTGATCTCCATAACACTTCGTCCAAGAGAAATTATAGGAGCCGAACTCGCTCCAAGTGTGTCTGAAGGTGTGCAAGATTGTTAAATGTATTAGATTTGTTGTTAAAAGTTACTAAATAAATGGAATCTTTATTTTATGTGTTGCTTGGCAGTATACTAAAACTTTAGATAAGACGAGTTTTCTAGTGTTTATATCAGCAGTTTTAATTATTACACTGCGTGACTTTAGATGATGTATTGAATAGATGGCCGTAACCCTGATCTGGATGGTACTTGTGGGTCTCCTAGCGATGGGTATAGACTCTGAAGAACACTACACTTTCAATACTCTTCACAATGAGACTGGATCCCTCGCCAACGTCTCTACTAACACCTCTACAAAACGTCAGAGGGACGTGGGGTGAGTAGATCTCCCAGCTCCGTAATTACTAAATTGTACCGTTATTATTTTTTCCATTTTACCTATGATTCTCATGTGTGAACACTAAAAAAAAAAAAAAAAAAAAAAAAAAACTTCTTCCCCTAGGCCTCGTGTGTCCTTCAACGTGAAGAGAGCTACAGATAAACTAACCGCCGTCGCTCACGTTCATTTTCAGGTAAGACTCGATAATTTGAGTCTTGATAGGTCTAGCAGTGTACTGTAACAGAATTTGTTAAAATGTACGCTACTTGCGTTTCAGTTGATGAAAATGTAATTTATTTGTGGCATTTATACACACGCTACAGGGACTTTAACTTGCAAAATCTTCGTACCACTAGAGTAAAATAAGGGGGGGGGGTTTCTTTAATGAGGTTAGCTGAAAAGGTTAAACAAAATTAAAACCTACTGTATAATGCACGGTAAGTTTGTATACTTGCACCACTTGACTCCTCTTAAGTTTAAACCCAAGACGGTGTAGTATTATTCCCTAAACTAGTAAATTAGGTGTTACCCCTCTACCTTCCCCCCCCCCTTGTTTATGGTCAACAGTCCTTACCTGCAGCTCTTGATAGAAACATTATAAACTGTTCTGCATTTAAACGTCTCTAGACTAGTCACATTCTGTCCTAGACTTCTCAAATTATTCTAAGACTATAAATTTTTAATATAATTATTGAACTTCCTAGATATTCTAGAGGAAACAATAGTTAACTTCCTTTACTACAGGAAGTGGTGACCAACACAGGAGGCGGTTGGGACAATACAACCAGCGAGTTTTTTTTTTTTTTTTTTTTTTTTTTTTTTTTTTTTTTTTATAAAAGAATACACAATGTACAAAACAGACACCCGCCGAACAAACAAGTTATGAACATACACAGGACAATATAACAAAGGAAGTAAACCACGGATACACTAAACATACCCAACAAAAACCAAGAAAGAAAACACATGACACAAGGTACAAAAAAAAAAAGAGAACCCAGAAACGGGGACAGTATGTACCACAAAAAACAGAACATGTCATTAATAGCACACAATAGAAATAACATAAAACATAGGCACATCCACACAACCTTAAGTACAGAAATACAAAAGGAGAACGCACATACAAGCCCAGCCCAACAACCCAAACACAGGTGCATAAAAGTATAGAACAACAGGCCTCCGAAACCCCTAAGAGGCAAAATTACAAAACTACATTAAACAAAAAACATGGAATTACATACATTGAAAGTCAAACAGAAATAACTGAGTACATTTCTCTTTTCTTACTCCGTTTCCTCAAGCATAATTAAAAAGACATAATACAAAGGCAGAACACAAAACACAAATCAAGAAAGAACAGATAAATAATACATAAATAGCACAAGGCAAAGTACATGGCACATAAAAAGAGAAATAACAATCAGTAATGGCAAAAAAACACTCATAACACAGGAACAGTAGTACATGAAAAGGGGGGGGGGGAGGACAAAACATAACCCGGGCACCCCAACCCCCCCACACAGAAAATCACAAAAGACAGAAGAGGCACGCTCCAAAGACAGAGGAGCACATAAGCATACATACCATAAAGAACAAAAATGCACAAAACATAAAACCCATACAAGGCAAACAAAAAGGCCCACGCAGGAGCCAGGGAAAACATAAAACCACACCCACACACAAGCACACCCAAACGAAACACACACCCACAGGAGCAACCACAACAGAACAAAACAACCACACACACACACACACACACACCCCGCCCAACCCCCGCCGAGGAGGCCCATCGGAGGACCGGGGACCGAAAACAAACCGGAACAAGACCCACCCAACCAACCCACAGCCAACATCCACGAGCCCAACCCACGACCAATCACTCAAAAGCAGCCCCACGAACATACGCACCAGTAAACCAACCACAAAAATCATCCGGAAAAGCACGCTGCAGCCACCACCAGGTGAACCGTAAGCGCCCTCTCAAAAACCCCAAAACCCTATCAACCCCATAACCCTCCCTCCGGCCAACCCACACACAATACACATAGTCAGCGACAAGAAGACAGAGCGTATTACGCACCCGTCGAGAGCCCCGCGGAAAAGACAAAAACAAAAACGGCAAAAAACCACCCCGACATCCCGGCCCACAAACCACGGCCAACACAGCACGAAACCAAGCAAGCAAACCACTCAGCCTCTCACAAAAATAGAAAACATGTAACTGAGTTTCAGGCAAACCACAGTGGACACATGCGTCAGAGGCACGCAAACCCAGCATGCACAACCGGTCATTTGTCGCCAACGACAAATGCAACATGCGAAACAACAACTCCCGCTGCTGCGGCGCCAAAAACCGCGCCCCTAACGCCGCCCACACCTCCCCCCAATCCCAACACGGGAATAAAGACTCCACCCGCGGCTGAACACGACAAAATAGAACCCCATAAATCGCCTTCACTGAGAGAGACATATAACCCGGACAACGACAGACAGCCCGAAGAATGTCTACCGCCCAGGAGTAAACAGGAGGGGTACAAAAGGCCACCTCCCGACAAACACCGCAATCCACCAAAAAACTAAACCGGACCGAACAATAAAAAATACACAAAGCATTGAGCCCCCCACCCAACGCTAAACCCTGACGCAACGAGACCCAGAACAGCGCCCGAGCCCTGGTAAACACATCAGGAATACCAACCCCACCTTCCCGCACCGCTAACACCAACGTCGAGCGACGAACCGGGTGGTAACGACCACACCACACGTACCTATAAACCTGACGTTCCAACCCCAGAGCCAGCCGGCGATCTAGGGGGAAACACCGAGCCACGAACCAGACACGTGACAGAACTTTACAAGTAACAAGCAACGCCCGCTGATAAATTGTTAACGGGCGCGCAGCCAACAACCCAACCGCAACACCAACACTACGAGAAACCGCACCCCAATTAAATTCCAAAGATCTCTCGTAAGAAGCAAACCAGGTGATCCCCAGAACTCGCAGAGAGGAGACCACCGGAAACCAAGACCCCTCCCACACAAGGCGAGAGGACCACCCACCGATACCCATAAGACCAGATTTGGCACGATTGACCTGGGCCCCAGTGGCCAACTCAAACCTCTCAACCACGACCTGGACAGCCCGAACAGAACCAGCAGAGGCCACGAACAGGATGGTATCATCCGCATAACCGCAGATGGGTAACCGAAGATCAGAAGGCAGCCGGGGGGGACGGATCAACGCACAAGCCTTGACCGCCCGAAAAAAAGGCTCCTGAAAGAGCACATAAAGGAGCATGGAAAGCGGACAACCCTGCCTCACCGAACGGCGGACAGGGAAAGGAGCACTCAAGAACCCATTGATGCAAACCCGACTGCAACACTGAGCGTACAACATACGCACCCAACGAACAAACAAAGGCGGAAAACCAAGCCTCTCTAACACACGAAAAACAAAAGCTAACGAAACACGGTCAAAAGCCTTAGACCAATCCAGGCAAAGCATCGCTGCAGACAAGCGAGAGCCCGACACGTACAGAAGCACATCCCGAAATAACGCATTGCACTGCAGTAACGAGCGACCTGGAACACCACAAAACTGTTCCACGGAAACCACAGACGCAACCACACGGCGACACCGACCAGCTAAAATCTTGGACAGGATCTTATAGTCCACATTCAACAAAGTAATGGGTCTCCAGTTCGAGAAGAACCGCAAATCGCCCGGCTTCGGGAGCAGCCGCACAATCCCAACGCACTGAGATACAGGCAGAACGCACCCCCGGAGGCAAGTCCGGACCACCTCCAAAAGAACATCACCCAACACATCCCAAAAGGCAACATAAAACTCGACAGGAAGACCATCCGTGCCCGGCACCTTCCCGGAACGAAATGACCTCACCACACCGAAAAGCTCCCCCAACGAAACATCTTCCTCCAAACCAACACAATCAGCAGCAGACAACCCCGGAGCACAACCACCCAAAAAACCTTCCGCAATCGCGTCGTCCCCTACCACCTCCCCATAGAGCGCAACCAACTCTTGCCGCACATAATGCAACACACCACCTGTGTCCGAAACAACAGACCCATCCGGCCTTTGCAGAGCCGTAAAAAGAACACCGTCCCGCGCAGCCTTCACCTTCCCTAAAAGATAAGGAGAGAGCCGTTCCCCGTCAACACGTTCACTCACACGAGCACGCACACGAACACCCTCGGCCCACTCATTCCGCAAACCACAAATACGCTCGTTACACTCCGCAATCTCCCCAAAACAGTCAATCCAAGCATTGTACCGCACATACAACCGCGAAAGCCTCGCCTGGAACAACCGCAGCAACCCAAACCTTCCAGCAGCCTCACGTTTGGCAGCCACCCGAAAAAACAACCGACATTGCTCCTTACACCACTCCCACCAATCTAAAACAGAAGGAAAATCACACCGCCGGGCGAGAACCCCGACCCACCAAACCCGAAACTGCCCACAAACCCTCGGAGAACGCAACAACCCACAATTCAGCTTCCACCACCCCAGAAACTTCCACCGTCCGAGAAAGCAACCGGGACAGTGTGGAAAGCAAACACAGAACACCCCCCGCCAGTAACATACACGCGATCAATCCGCGAACGCGCCCCATGCGCAGCAAAAGTAAAGGACAACTCGCCCCCATAGAGCACAGCAGCATCCTTGAAACCGCAAGAACGCACCACCTCCAGCAGCGCACCCGAGACATTCTGCGGGCGGGCGCTACTACAGTCCCGCGCACTCGTCACACAGTTAAAATCACCACCAAAAACCATACTCCGCGTATCATGACGCAGGAAAGGGAGAAGCCCCACTCGAAAAAACTCCTCCCGTTCCCGACGGCGAGCCACCCCCGAGGGGGCGTACACCGTCAGGAACGGAAGAACGACCCCCAAAAACTCAACCCTCACAAACAAAACCCGCCCATCTTCATCCATCTCCGTGTGAAGCACGGAGAAGGAAGCCCTCCTAGAAAACAACATAAGCGTCCCCCCGAAGGACGTCCTCGGCGGGTTGAGCACAACATGAAAATGCGCACTTAAACACTGCAGCACAGACACCTCACGAACATTATGCTCCTGGATCAGAGCCACATCCACACGCTGCTCCTGCAGAACATCCAACAGGCCCAACTGGACCCCAAGATCATTCAAACCACGAACATTCAAAGACGCACAGACAACAGAGGGCGCCATCGGGAGAACCTCAGGACACCCCCAACCCAACGCGTCCCCCAGGGGACACAACCGCACCCGCAGCGGGAGCCACATCCACACCACCAGGCTCAACCCCCTGCCGCACCCTGGAAGACGACCGGCCAGGAACCGCCTTCAAAATCACAGGAGATACACCATGCGAAGAGGGCGCCCCAGGCGTCGAGGACACCATCCACAGTTTTTCCACTTCCTCCGCTGCCCCGAGCCCGACACCACGCTCAATGTCCCGCTCATCCCCAGATCCCGCTTCCGAAGGGGGAGGAGGAACCACTGGAGAAGCGGAGGGAGGAGCACCAGCCAAAGGCACACCACCCGAAGCCTCGATCCTCTTCCCAGGGGGGCCCCTGCTGCGCGACCGATCCCGCGGAGCGCGCTTTCGTCGAGGAACAGAAGAGCCCAATTCAACCACAGGAGGCACAGCACAAGCGACAGCAGGCGGCTGCGCCACGGCACCAGCATCAGGAACACCGCTAGGCTGGCCGTCAGGAGACACAGTATCAACACCGCCCCTGGCCTCGGGAAGCACACTGGCCACTGCACACGGGTCGCCCTCCGGCACTACACCACACACGTCGGATTTCAAGGAGACACTCGGGTCGCGATGTACCTCCGCCGCCACCAGCATAGGCGCACCCGAAGCAGGAGCCGCGAGAGCATCAGAGTCAACAGACAGAGCAGAGGACCCAGCAGCAGACGGAGAGGTAGGGACAGCTGGGGACGACGCCTCCAGAGGCACACCCACAGAGCCCGGGCCCGCTGGGGGCGCCCCAGCCTCCGGCAGAAGTGGAAAATCATTCGCATGGAAAACCGATGGGTCCTCCGGGCGAGGGGCACGGCAAGCTGCAGCGAAATGGCCTACCTCACCACACCGGAAACAGGAGCGAGTCTGCCCCTGGTAGAACACACGCACATAAAACCCACACACAGCCACCCGAGAGGGAATAGCCCCAGAGAGCCGCATGCGCAAAGTACGGGCACCCATACGGAGCCCCTTCAGGCGCCCACTAAGCAGACAGGCATGACGCTGCCCCACCACCTCACCATACCGACGGAACGCGGCGGACAGCTCCTCCTCAGGAAACTGCACCGGCGCACCATGAACGCTCACATACGTCAGGGGGCCCCACGGATCGGAGACCTCCACCGTCACAGCAGAACCTGGAAGTACATGCGTCCGTGTACCCCATCGACGCACAAACACCTGATACACCTGCGCCGAGGAGAATGTCACCGCCACCCGGGTAGGGGAAAGTTTCTCAACACCGTAGAGATCTTGGTACTCAACACGCATGACGTCCATAAGGGCAACCTCCACCAAGGGCCAGTCAATGGGGGCCGAGAAATCAAGCCGGGCGGTGTCGACCCGGCGAACACGGCCACCACTAGTCGACGCCATGACACCCGCCAGGCCCCGGCCAATGGCCGCACCACACCGTCAACAAGACGACCACCACGCGGCAGGTACAGGTCAACACTGACAGCCCGGGCCGAACGTCAGCGCCCTCCGGTAGCAGAGCGGCGAGTCCACAACCAGCGAGTTCGTAGTTCCTGTTGCAGGACGTTATTTATTCATTTTCGGCGCTATTAGTGACCAGACCAGCAACTTTGCGTGAGTAGCAAACGCCCAACGTTATGAAGTGCTGAAACGAATAAGTGTGCATACAATATTATTTCAAATTTACACATGTTTGCAGACTGTCTTTGACCCACAATGGCGTGAATAGGGCGACTGCTTACGCGACAACCACCACCTTGGAATACGCCTCCACCTTGGTGACCCTGGACCTCTACACACTTGACAGGATATACTTACAGTTGCA